CAGGACCTGATGGATTTACAAATGAATTCTACCAAACATTCAGAGATGAATTAGTGCCTATCCTTCACAAGCTCTTCCAAAAAATTGATAAGGAAGGGACAATACCAAACACGTTCTATGAAGCCAAAATTACACTAATACCAAAACCGAAAAAGAACAACACAAAAAAGGAAAACTACAGGCCAATCTCCCTAAGGAAGATGGATGCAAAAATCCTCAATAAAATTTTAGCTATCAGAATCCAACAATGAAACCATAAGATAATTCACCAGGACCAATTAGGATTCATTCCAGGGACACAAGGATGGTTCAAAATACGAAAATCAATCAACGTTATCCAACACATCAACAAAAAGAAAAATAAAAACCATGTGATAATATCAATAGATGCTGAGAAAGCTTTCGACAAAGTGCAACATGCATTCATGATAAAAGCCCTTGAAATTCTTGGGATACAAGGAATACCTCAACATCATAAAGGCCATCTATGAAAGCCAAAAGCCAGTATCATTCTCAATGGTGAAAAGCTGAAAGCAATTCCATTAAGATGTGGAACAAGACAAGGATGTCCACTCTCATCACTGCTTTTCAATATAATACTAGAAGTCCTAGCCAGAGCAATAAGCAAGAGAAAGACATCAAAGGAATCCAAATAGGAAAAGAAGAAGTCAAACTATCACTATTTGCAGATGATATGATAATATACATAGAGAACCCCAAAAACTCCACAAAAAAAATCTAATTCAACTCATCAATCAGTTCAGTAAATTGGCAGGAAACAAAATCAACACGCAAATTCAGTAGCCTTCCTATACACAAACAATAAATCTGAAGAAGAATAAATAAAAAAAACACCCCTTTTATTATTGAAACAAAAAAAATCAAATATTTGGGAATAAATCTAGCAAAAGAGGTAAAGGAACTATACAAAGAAAACTATAAAACACTGTTAAAAGAAATAGAAGAAGACACAAAGAAATGGAAAGACATCCCCTGTTCATGGATTGGAAGAATAAACATTATTAAAATGGCCATCCTACCAAAAGCAATATACATATTCAATGCTATTCCAATCAAAATTTCAATGTCATTCTTCAAAGAAATAGAACAATTATTGATGAAATTCATATGGAATCACAAAAAACCCCAAATAGCCAAATCTCTCCTGAAAAAAAAATAAGGGAATGGAGGCATCACACTCCCAGACTTCAAACTATACTACAAAGCCATAATCATCAAAACTGCATGGTATTGGAACAAGAACAGACAAACAGACCAATGGAATCAAATAGAAAATCCAGAAATAAACCTACAGATTTATGGTCAGCTAATCTTTGACAAAGGAGCAAAGACTATGCATTGGAGCAAAGAAAGTTTGTTCAATAAATGGTGCTGGGAAAACTAGGTCGCTACATGCAAAAGAGTGAAGCTTGACCACTACCTAACATCATACACAAAAATCAACTCAAAATGGATTAAAGAATTAGACATAAGACCAGAAACCATAAAATACATAGAAGGAAGTATAGGTGAAACACTATGTGATTTGCACATCAAAGACATCTTTACAGACACATCACCCAAAGCAGTGATAGTGAAGGCAAAGATCAACAGCTAGGACTACATCAAATTAAAGAGCTTCTGCACTGCAAAAGAGACACTAACAAAAACAAAGAAAAACCCCACCCACTGGGAGAACATTTTTGCACACAACACTAATGATAAAGGACAGATCACAAAAATCTGCAAAGAGCTGATGAGACTGAACAACAACAAAGAAAATAATCCAGTCAAAAAATGGGCAGAAGAGCTAAAAAGAAACTTCTCTGAAAAGGAAATGCAAATGGCCAACAGGAATATGAAAAAATGTTCAACATCACTGGTAATCAGGGAAATGCAAATCAAAACTACCATGAGATACCATCTTACACCAGTGAGAATGGCACATATTAAAAAAACTAGCAACAACAAATGTTGGCGAGGATGTGGAGAAAAAGGAACTCTTCTGCACTGTTGGTGGGAGTGCAAACTGGTCCAACCACTATGGAGAGCTGTGTGGAGATTTCTGGACCTACTAAACATAGAGCTTCCATATGATCCAGAAATTCCACTCCTAGGTATTTACCCAAAGGACACAGAAACATCAATTCCAAAGAACACCTGCACCCCTATGTTTATAGCAGCACTATTTACAATAGCTATGCTTTGGAAACAGCCCAGATGCCCAAAAATAGATGACTGGATCAAGATGTGGTACATATATACCATGGAATATTACTCAGCATTCAAAAAAGATAAACACATGCAATTTGCAGCAACATGGATGGCGCTGGAAGGGATCATGCTCAGCGAAATAAGCCAAAAAGAAAAAGAAAAATACCGGATGGTCTCACTCATAGCAGGAATCTAGAAAACTTAAATAAGGGACCAGGAAAATGAATAACTATAAGAAGGTGAAAATCAAAATTAACAAAAAACTATGAACCAGAGACACTTTTTGGGGGCGGGAGGGGAGGGATTGGGGTCAGAATGAGGGGATGCAATTGTATGGGGAATATAAAAATAAAATTTATTATTAAAAAAAAATCTCGCAACAACAAATGTTGGCGAGGTTGTGGAGAAGAATGAACTCTCCTGCACTGTTGGTGGGAGTGCAAACTGGTCCAACCGCTATGGAGAGCGGTGTGGTGATTTCTTGAACTACTAAACATAGAGCTTCCATATCATCCAGCAATTCCACTCCTAGTTATTTACCCAAAGGACACAGAAACAGTAATTCCAAAGGACACCTGCACCCCTATGTTTATAGCAGCACTTTTTACAATAGGTAAGCTAGGAAGCAACCCAAATGCCCAAAAATAGCTGACTGGATCAAGAAGATGTGGTACATATACACAATGGAATATAACTCAGCAATCAAAAAAGATAAACACATGCAGTTTGCAGCAACATGGATGAAGCTAGAAGGGATCATACTCAGCGAAATAAGTCAGAAAGAAAAAGAAAAATATTGATGGTCTCACTCATAGCAGGAATTTAGAAAATCTATATAAGGAACCAGGAAAAAGACTAATCAATACAAAATAAAAATCAAAATCAACAAACAACTATAAACCAGAGACACACTATGGGGGGGGGGGTGGGGGAGGATAGAGGTGGGAAAGGAAGGACTAGAGTCAAAATAAGGGGGGAGGTGCATTGTATGGGGGATATAACTAAAATGAAAATGCATACATTGTGCAAATATTAAAAAAGATGTAAGAATTATATAAAATAAAATATTTAAATAAATAAAAAATAAAAATTAAATCACAGACTCCCTATATAATTCTAATGTCAGATTATAGTGAATAAAATAACCTAAGTAATATATAATTGATACACATTGTAATCAGGGACTAAATTATAGCTATTAATGTGACAGAATTATGAAGCTCCTACAATTTTAGCAAAGCATCAGGAAGCTTATGAGTTCAGTGGCATGTTCTGTTATCACAAGATCTCAGGTTGATTACCCACTGTCAAGGAGGACAACTGCCTGGATACCAGCAATTATGTTCCTAGGACCAGCCAAAGCTTTGAATACATGAGGAACCTAAACCAAACCCATTCCTCAATCTTGACTTGTTTAGAAAATAAATCTGATATCAGATAGTGTACTAGAAATTTAGAGATATGAAAAGGAGGCAAGTTCATGGAGGAGTGAAAAAATGGAATTAATTTGATTTCGAACTTAAACTCTTGGGAACAGGGAAATCTTCCATTGCTGTCCAGAATGGTTTTACACAAGGGAATTGTGTGTATTGAAGTTGGAGTAATGAGGAAATGTGACTAATGAGCAGATAGAAAGAGTTGTAACTACATCAGCTGACTCCTGGCTTATATAACCTTGGGCTGGAAGGGGCATGCTTTAGTTGTGTGTGTTTTTGTGTGGAGTCCTATTCCTGCTTAGGGGACAGATGGTTCACTCCTCCCTGCTGTCTCTACTGCGTACAAAGCTTAGGTCTCTATGCCTTCCATCCAATAAGGAATTCAGATCTCCACAGGAGACCCTCTTGGAGACCCAGTGCAGGTGAGCCCAGCAGTCCAATTGAGCCTCAGGTTAGAGAAATGAACCAAGATCACTTCCCTGTTGTTATCTGAGAGGCCATTTACCTTCACCCCAGGCAAGAGATCCCTGTGTTTTTTTTGTTTGATTAAATAATGAATATTACGTAATTATTTCAATGTTTGTGTAATTTTTTCAGTGTGAAGTACAATGTTGATCATTTTTGTATCATTAAATTGTTTTTATCAGTAAAGTGTTATTATAATAAGGCTCATAAAATATGTGGATATTTAGTCCAAAACATGGTTCTAAGTGGGTAACTTTGTCCCCCAGGAACACTGAGCAATGTCCACAGACATTTCTGTCTCACAGCAAGGGTTAACAGGAGGCCAGGATGTTCCAAACATCTTACAATGCACAGGACAAACTTCATCACAGAGAAAGACCTGCCCAAATGTCACTTGCGATGACACAGAAACACTACCCATTTTCTCTTGGGTGTACAGTATGTAAGGTATTTATCATAAGTAGTTCATAAAAAGGGCAGTATTTTTTTCTTGGGCAAAAATATATTTATTTATCAGGGTTGAGAAGGCACTGAGATCAGTCTCTGAGGGACCATCTACCTTATTAAATCATTTCCCTCTTTAGTTACTTCTTTTCCCTTCTATTCCCCCCCCCCTCACTTTTTTCTCCTCCTCCTCTTGCTTCTCATTCCCTGCATTCAGTAGTATGCCTTTTTGTGTTACTGATATTTTTCTTTTGCTGTGCAGATGGCTTCACAATTTTTAACTTGAATATTTGAGCAAGCATCATCTTTAAAGGAAACCATACAGAGAATATTATGATTAACTTCTCACAAAATTACAGGCATTTCAAGTAACTTAGTGATATATGCTTTTGAAATAAGTTTTTTTTTTTTCCCTACTCTCCTGGAAGTCACCTGTACTACATGATACCAGTCAATAATACACAAATTTCAGAATTTCTTCTGCTGAGATTTTCAGAAGAAGCAGAACAGCAGCCCCTGATATTAGGACTCTTCCTCAGCATGTATCTGATCACTGTGTTTGGAAACCTGCTCATCATCCTGGCTGTCAGCTCTGACTCCCACCTTCAGACGCCCATGTACTTCTTCCTCTCCAACCTGTCCTTTGCTGACATCTGTTTCATCTCCACAACCATCCCAAACATGTTGGTGAACATCCAGACACACAGCAAAGTCATTACCTATAAAGGTTGCATCACCCAGGTGTATTTTTCCACACTGTTTGCAGGGTTGGACAACTTTCTCCTGATTGTGATGGCCTATGACCGCTATGTGGCCATCTGCCACCCCCTGCATTACATGGTCATCATGAACCCTCAGCTGTGTGGACTGCTGGTTCTGGTGATCTGGATCATCAGTGCTGTGTATTCCTTAATACAAACTTTAATGTTGTTACGTCTGTCCTTTTGCACAAATGTGGAAATCCCACACTTTTTCTGTGAACTCAATCAGGTGATCAAAGTGGCCTGTTCTGACACTTTTCTCAATAATGTGGTGATATATATTGAGGCTATCTTACTCAGTGTTGGTTCTCTCTTTGTTATTCTTTACTCTTACTCTAAGATAGTTTCCTCGATCCATAAAATCTCTTCAGCTCAGGGCAAGTATAAAGCATTTTCCACCTGTGCATCTCACCTCTCAGTTGTCTCCTTATTTTATTTTACAATCATTGGAGTGTACCTTTGCTCTGCTGCTCCCCACGGCCCAAGCTCAAGTGCCATAGCCTCAGTGATGTACACTGTGGTCACACCCATGCTCAACCCCTTCATCTACAGTCTGAGGAACAAAGATATAAAGAGGGCCCTGACAACAATTATTGTAATGAAAACTACAAAATGATAATTGTACCAGGGCTGAAGAAGCACCCATAATATTAGATTTTGGAGACTAATAGTCATAAATTGGACTTAATGGATCAAACTAAGAGGTACTACATCCTCTTTTTTATGTCATTAAATTTCTTCTTGGACCTCACTTTCTCTATTTTATTTATGTAACTCACATTATTAAACTTTCAGCCCTTTTTGATGTTTAACAGCTTTTCCTTTTGTGATTTTCCCACATTCCAAATTTTTCCAATCTTAAACCAGAAAAATTTAGACATTCCCATTCACTTAATAGGACAACATTGATTTGTGAGAATAATTTCTCTTCATGTCATATAACATACCAAATAGTTTTTTTTTGCTTTTTGTAGTTAAAAGTCTTCAAGTTCTGCTATTCCTATGACAATCAAACTATACCTGATGACCTAGAAAGCTTATATAATTTTATAACAGAGGAAGTACAATAACAAAACTTTTCACTTTTGAGTGCATCATCCTTTTGTGTTCACTACATTAACCACCCACCTGAAAACAAGGACACTAACATACAGTGGGCTTCATAGCACAGTAGGTTTTATTCTCCTCTTTAGAATCCTGTTCTCCTTCAGCTCAGTGTACACAGACACTCCCTTAGTCCAGGCCTACATGCTTGTCACATAGGAGAATCTTCACTGAGACACATTTTACTGTATATATCAAACAAATATGAACTTAGAATCACAAATTTCTTCAACATAATGGGAAAAATTAAATCACATATTATATTTCAATGCAAAGTGTCCTGATGTCATGCAGTATATCTTCTTCTTTAAATGTCTCTGTGTGAGGGGGTTAATATTGATTTTGAATTGAAAAAAGTGTTTTTGAGTTATTATCCTGTCTCTGTTTGAAACCTTCTAATGCTGCTAAAGCTAGGACTGCTTTCTTTGCCCTAAGGGAAACAATTCCCCCTCTTCTAATATTTTCATAAAGAAATAATGGTGAGTTAATGTTATTATATTATCATACTTTATATAAATACATTATACAGATAATTATATAATCTCTCTTTTTTAAGATTTATTTATTTATTTAAATGAGCACTGGGTACAGTCAGAAGCACGGGAGGTGAGAGAATTCACCAGAGCCAGAGCGGGGAACAGAACAGGCAGAAGGACCAAAGTACACTGCTGAGGGGAGCAGCGGATGGTAGGAGAGGTCTGCACGCCATGTGGGACCCTCCCTGGCAGCCTGATATCAAACCAGCGCTGCAGAGGCTGCGGGCAGCTTTGCAGCCCAGCGCTCAACCACTGCGCCACTGGGGAGGCCCTATATAATCCTTTTTAATGATTTATTTATTCATGTCTACAATAACCGGGGTACAGGCCAGATGTGTGGGAGGGTGAGAGGATTCACCAGAGACAAAATGGGGAACAGGAGGAGTCACTGATACACTGCTGAGAGGAGCAAATGGCGAGCCAGGAGAAGTCTGCCATGCCATGTGGGTATCTCCCTGATGCGCCAGGAATTGAACCAGCACTACAGAGGCTGGGGACAGCTCCACAGTGCTGGGCTCAACTCCCTGCACACCAGGGAGGCCCTCTTTTGTGATCAAATTACGACTATGAGACAACTTAAATTTCTGTCTGGGAATACAATCAGGGTCACCATTTTCCTACAAAAACACCACCTCTTCTAGTTACCTGGAAATTAGCTGCATAGAATATTTAAATAGAGTGGTCAGAATTAAGAATAAATGTCAAACAAAACCCAAACATACAGATTATTATAATTCTCCTCACTCCTATTCACTTTGACTGTTGTATCCGTTAGCTGCTGCTGACAGGCCATCCTACATGTAATTGAGTTAATATAAGGCCTTGAGGATGAAGAAGAGTGTGTGATGAGCTGCTGTGATCTGCTGGGCTCTGCACGGCTCCACAGGCAGCTTGAGTCTATACATTGTGCTTCTGAGGCTCATTCAGGGTGGTGCCTGGAATATGCACTCAGTTCACCATATTTATGTATCTATACTCATCTTTTATTTTTGCAGAAAACAGTATGAAATGTGAATTTATTTCATAACTCTGTGATTCCTGTTTCACATCATTTATTTCCCTTTGTTTTGAAGTAGACGTGATGGCTCTCACCACTGTTCACTTTGAATCATTCACCTGTGCTGTGTATCTTACTCTGATCTAGGCATCTTAAAACTTTTTCCTTTTAAGTATTTATTATAATATACATGAATACTATGTTGTACATATTTAAAATGTACTTTTTGTTGAATAGAAAGAGCTATACAAAGCTACAGTACATGTTGTATTTTTCCATTTTTGTCTAATTCAAGAAAGTGTGTGGTTAAATTTAATGGAATTTTGTGAATTCTTAGCTCAATTTCCTTATTTTAGAAACTGATTTTGTATGAGAAATATTACTTTAGATGAATGTTGCCAGCAATTAATGATAAGTGTGGACATATTTTTTGAATACAAAATAAATGTTTATAGTTAACATTTTTATGTGTTTTTGTGGGGTTTTTTTGTAAAAAGTTTTATTTTATGTAAACATACACAGATATATACACACAACAGACACATATTATCTCACATTTTATGTTGAAAGAAATCTTGAGAGTTGGTGCTGTTAGAAACAAAAACAATTAATGTTTGAATTAACATGTAATTAAAAGTATATAGAATTTAGACACAAAGACATAAATGGTGGACAATATTTAGTGATGAATTGATTTTTATCTTATTAACTATTTTATTGTCAAGTTTTTTTCCCTTATTTATATAAAGATTTATATATGTCTTATCTATATAAAGATTATTTATTTAAATAAAGCTTTTTGTTTTATGTTTCAGTTAATATTGATTTATATTATGGTATATGTCTTAAGGGTATAGGTTTACACCTCAAAAATTGCATGCTATTTCACCATACTCACCACCTAAGCCCCAGGAATCCTCCCTTAAACCTCCAACTCCCCTTTGCTCCCAGCCCACCACATCCCTTTTCTGGGAGCCTCCCTCATTTTTTTTAAAGATTTATTTATTTATATAAGCACCGGGTACAGTCAGAAGCGCGGGAAGGTGAGAGAATTCGCCAGAGCCATTGCAGGGAGCAGAGCAGGCAGAAGGACTGAAGTACACTGCTGAGGGGAGCAGCGGGCGGCAGGAGAGGTCTGCGCGCCATGTGGGACCCTCCTCCGGTGGCCGGGGAGCAGCCGAGGATCGAGCTGGCTCTGCAGAGGCTGCGGGCAGCTTCGCAACCCAGCGCTCAACCGCTGCGTCACCGGGGAGGCCCTGAGCCTCCCTCATTTTTCAGTGTGTTCTTCCTCCTCCTGTTTTTATTCCTCCCCCTTCTCCTCCACTCTTGGATGCCCAGATCTATGGTCAGATTTTAAGATTTTCTTTAACCTTCCATTTGGTCTCTGTATACTCCACATATAAGTGAAACCATCTGGTATTTATCTTTCTCCTTGTGACTTGTTTTCCCTTCTTACAATCCCTTCCAGCTATATCTATGTTGTCACCAATGTCGTGATTCCAATTTTTTTTTTTTAATTGCTGAGTATATGCCATATATTTTCATTCATTTGTTTTGGGACTTTGACATTGTTTCCATATCATGGCTATTGTAAATATCCTGCAATAAACATAGCAGTGCAGGTTCCCTTTGATTTCGTGTTTTTCATGTTCTTTGGGTAGATTCCTAGGAGTAAAATTGCTTGGTCATGGGGTGCATCCTATTTTAGTGTTTTGAGAAACTTCAACACAACTTCCAGAGTGTATGGACTTAGCTAAATTCTACTAACAGTGTCGGAGTTTCCTTTTTCCCTCATACCCTCTACAGCACTTGTTGATTTTGGTGTTTTTATTATGGCCATTCTCGCAGGTGTGAGATTGTATCTCATTGTCCTTATTTTTTCTGCATTTCCCTGATGCCAAGTGATCATGTATGATGGACATATTTTCATGTCTATTGGCCAAACGCATGTCTTTTGTGGAATGTCTACTTAGATCTTTTGTCTGTTTTATGATTGGGTTATTTGTTTAGTTATGAGGTCTCTGAATATTATCAATATCAATGCCTATCAGATGGATGATGTACAAATATTTTCTCCCATTCATTTTGGTTTCTGCCTTTTGTGCTCCACAGAGACTTTTGTTTGATGGAGTACCAGTTTTCTATATTCTCCTTTGTTTTCCTTGCTGCTTGAAATGTGTCTTCAAAAATATATTTGAAGTTTGTGCATGAGTGTTTTTTTCTTCTGTTTCTTTTATATATGCTATGGTTTCAGGTCTCACATCTAAGTCTTTCATCCATTAAGAACTGATTTTCATATATGGTATGAGAGAGTGGTCTAGTTTCATTCTTTAGCTTTAGGGCATCCAGTTTTCCTATTACCATTTATTGAAGAAATTTTCTGTATTCCAATGTATATACTTCATGTCTTTATTGTAGGTTAAGTGTCTGTAAATGCATGGTTTATTTCTAGCTCTGAGCTCTATTCTAGTGGTCTATGTGTCTACTCAGTACCATACTCCCCAAGATGGCCTGTTCTTGTTCTGGAGCACCAGAGCCTATAATTGCCCCAAGTTTGTCAGTCTGCCAGGAATGTTCACTGCTGTGTCTAAGTCTCTCCTCACCTCTCCATGCTCTGAAACATAATGGATAACAGAATACTTTCCTTAGCCAAAGTAGTGAGTCAATCTTCCATGCTGCCAATGAACTGTGATGAGATGATATGTGTGCTATGATTGCTGTTTTAATTGTGCTTGAAGGAGAGTTTGTAGGTAGATGTTATTTCACCATGTCTTTGCTCCACCTCTCCAAATTTTATTGAATAATTTTCTATATTAGATTCTCATTGCTTCCCTAAATATACCCACTTGAAAGAGGACACATGTGTGCTCTGAGAGTTGTGGATATTAGAAAGTGAAGTCTCATTGGATTAATATCAGAGTGCCTACAAGACTGGGTTACTTCGGGAAGCTCAGGAGTGATTCTGTGACTTTTCTTACG